TCTTGAATAATTATTATTTAAATCTTGGAAAATTCTTGATCAGATGATTATGGATTGTTTGCAAATCAACTTTGACTTTTTAAGATGAAATTCACTCGAGCTGAGGGACTAGTGATTGGTATCCTTGATCCAAATTCTTCCTGGAAAAGTTAGTAAAGGAAAAACAAACATTTTTTTTGGATTTTGAATAATAGTTAGTAAACATGAACATAAACAAACATCAAACAAACAAGGAAACAAGGGTGCCCAGTGACCTCTCAAGAACAAACTTGCAGAGGAAGGCAAGATAACCAAAGCTTGTAATCTTGTTTGTGGAATGAGATGCAAATGATATGTCGGATCTTAGGGGTAAAAATTAGGGTATTACACATCTTTTGTTTTTATTGATTGAGAGAGTGGTTTTAAGTTGCTGGTTTCCGAATAAGCAATCTTCCTCAATTGTTCTTTGATGTGGAGTTTCATGTTGTCATTGACTTTCAAAAATCTCTCTTGTATCACTTCTCATTCGATCAAGATAGAGATATTTGATTTACTGTTTTTTATGACACCATAATCATCAAACCTAAGCCTCTTCCAGTGAGTGAAAACCTCATCAATTCTTATCGGGCTACCAAGTTTCACCTTTTTTGCAATAACACAAACACATGATAGACCATATGTTTTCACAATTGTGCATCCACACTTTATGCTGTCGGGGCCTACATTATCAACTCATTTAGCCTCGTGAAAAGTATAATTTAAACTCGCTCGAGATATGTTGCTGACCAATTGAGAATAAAGATTGTTGTCTTTAAATTTATGTTCTAAAACTCTGATGCTCCGACCAAATTATATTTGTATCTCATTATGTTGGTTCTAAATTATTTGGTTCACGGAGTCTCAATCTATACACAAATCACCCTTACTATTTCCCAACCAATTCTTCAATGTAGCATGGGTAGACTCAATTCAGTTAGTTGTTATATTTCTAAGGTGTCTATATTTCCCACTTATTTTGCACGTCATTGTCCCAAAAGCACATCTACTATCCAAACTATTATCAGCCCTTCCGATAATCGCACAAATCTCAGTTTGAAAGCCTCCGTACGAATCTATTGAAGCATGTGATCACAGGATTCAAACTCTTGCTCATTTTAAAATTGGTTGCCAACATCAATCGCCTTCATAACAACATCTTTAACAGTGAGAGACGCGACTTGTTTGGAGAAAACATCAGGTGCATCATATATAATAAAAACAATTACCACAAAATATTAAATAAGTGTTAATGTTGTAAACAAAGTTGAAAAAATGAACACATATAGATACTAGAAATGCATTTTCGGGTAAGTTCATACTCATTTCGTAAATGTATCTCTAAAATGAACACTAGTTTTTCAAACAGAAAATAAGATTAATGTGAGCAATGAGGCTTGAAATAAGCAATCTTTACTTGAAATTCTAACTTTTTTTCCTCTCTTTGATTTGATGAAACACAAGATTGAAAAATTGAAGTGAAAATCTAGATTGACAATGGAAGGGTTTTTGGCGGAGTTTTTGAGTTAAAAACAAGTATGGATGTGTGATCATGCAGCTATGTGTTTTACCAAATTATTCCGAAGATGTTTTTCCAAAAATATTTGACATGCAAAGGTGACAACAAATTTCAAAACCCCGCCCCAGACTTCTGAGAATGCTTCTTTGAAGTGTCTAATTGGCTGATCAACTATCAAGATATTTGTTGAAGATTTCAGAGATGTATCTCTGAAATTTTGTTTAGCATTCATCTAGGTGGCACTTAATTGGTGCGCCATAATTTTGGTGCATGGTGCGTCCGGGTGATACTCATTTGGTGCGTCATAGTGTTGGTGCATGGTGCGTCTGGGTGACACTTATTTGGTGCGCTGTAAAGTTGGTGCATGGTGCGTTTGGAGATGCATATTCAAAATATGAGGACCATTTTAGTATTTTTGTGTGGTGCGTAAGTAAGATATATGGTGCATTAAAAAATTCTTCCCTTATAATTAGAGCTGTAAAAACGGGGTATCCCATATCGTCAAGCCCGCAAAATCATATGGTTTGGGCCTTAAAATTAGAGTCCATGTTTTTTAGGACTTGTTAGCCCAACCCTAAAATGTCTGCTATCCATTAGGGATAACATATTGATTTTTCTTACCTCACTAAATTTTATCTCTATTCTATTCAATCTTTCTCTTTTAAATCATATACATTAATATAATCAAGACTCTTTCCTCATATTCTATTAGTTTCTGTTATATTAAATATTTGAGTATTATTTTATACAATTTAGAGATGCATTGTATTTAAAAACACATTATATTATTTATAAAAGATAATATAGTACTTAAAAAAATATACTACATTAAAATAATATAATTTTTAAGGGTTAAATATGTTTGCGGTCTTCCTAAATATCTCAAATTTTGTTTTTACTCCCTTAAAATATTTTCTTGAAAGAATGGTTCTCCTGAAATTTTCTCCGACATTTTTGGTCTCTAATACTAAACTGTTGTCGCTAAGTTAAAAATTGTCATTAAAGCCGTCGTTAATTCTGTCGTTGAGTTGTAAAAATCGTCGCTAAGTTGCAGGAGGGAACAAAAATATGGATGACAATTTTTAGGAGAATCATTCTTTAAAGAAAATATTTTGAAGGACGAAAAACGAAATTTAAATATTTATGAGGCCTATATACATATTTAACTCTAATTTTTAATTACATTTATAATAAATATTTAGAAATTTTTATTTAAAAAATTCATTTAAGGTCGGATAGTCCAAAACCATCTAGGATTAGACTTGGGTAATAACTTTTGTGCCCATATTAAAATAAAATTTGTACCCTGAAAATTTTGAGATCCACCAGAATCAGACTCGTCTAGGGTCTGTTTGGTTCAAATGAGGAGGAGGGGAGGGGAAAGATTTTAATGAAGTGAAGGGGAGGGGAGGGGATGTGAAGGATTTTTTTAATCAAATAAGTGTTTGGTTCAAAAGAGAGGAGGAGAGAGGAAGATAGGGATTTTAATTAAAAATGTGTTTGGTTCAGAAGGGGAGGAGAGAAGTTTTATTAATAATTTACGTTTTTATCCTTATGATCTTATATAAGTCATATGATATTAAAATGTGAAAAATTCATGCGTATTTTTGTTGGTAATAAATTTTATAATATTGAGTGATTAAAAAAAGTAATTATTTGTCACATAAAGTTAAAAAATTGAGTACAATTGATTCGACTTATAACTTTCCAACATAAATTAAACTATATGCCAATAACATCGTTCAAATTGTGATGAATCATATAACAAAGCAAATATATAAAATAACTTATTATTAAATATTAATGGTTTAAAATATTTAATAAAGTGAATAAATAAAAATAAATAAAATGAATGGTTTACAATTTAATATAAAAAAAATGATAGAATACCTAACAAAATTAAAAGAAAAAAACGAATATAACTAAACATAATTTTTTTTATAAAAAAAAGACAATGATTATGATTTATATTAAGTATAGAAATTATAAAATAATTTAAAGATGAAGAACAATTATAATAAGTTGATGGAAACAATGGAGAAAAAACAGTAACACAAAAGAAAACAAATAGTTTTAAAATACTGAAATTAAATTGAGAATATTTTAGTAAATATAATAATTTTTAAATATCAAAACTCATATTTTCTCTCCTCCCCTTCAAATCCCTCTAATTCGGAGGGAACAAAAAAATGTGTTTTGGAGAGATTTTGCTCCCCTTCCCTCCCCTCCTAAGGGTGTGTTTGGTTCGGGGTAGATGGAGGGGAGGGGAGGGGAGGGGTGGGGAGGGGAAAATTTTAATTAAATATGTTTGGTTCAAAATTTAGGAGGGGAGGGGAGGGGAGCAAAATCCCTCCAAAACACACTTTTTGGTTCCCTCCGAATTGGGGGATTTGGAGGGGAGGGGAGGAAATATGAGTTTTAATATTTAAAAATTATTATATTTACTAAAATATCCTCAGTTTAATTTTATTATTTCAAAACTATTTGTTATCTTTTGTATTACTCTTTTTCTCGATTGTTTTCATCAATTTATTATAATTGTTCTCCACCTTCAAATTATTTTATAATTTTTATAAAAATTAATATAAATTATAATCATTGTCTTTTTTTATTAAAAAATTTATGTTTAGTTATATTCGTTTTTTTCTTTTAATTTTGTTATGTACTCTATTATATTTTCTTTTATATCAAATTGTAAACCATATCATTTTATTTATTTTTGTTTATTCATTTTATTAAATATTTTGAACCATTAATATTTAGTAATAAGTTATTTTATATATTTGTTTTGTTATATGATTCATCACAATTTAAACGATGTTATTGACATATAGTTTAATTTATGTTAGAAAGTTATAAGTCGAATCGATTGTACTCAATTTTTAACTTTATGTGACAAATAAGTATTTTTTTAATCATTCAATATTAGAAATTTTATTACCAACAAAAATACGCACAAATTTTTCACTTTTAATATCATATGACTTATATAATATCATAAGGATAAAAATGTAAATTATTAATAAAACCCATCCCCTCCCCTTCTGAACCAAACACATTTTTAATTAAAATCTCTCTCCTCCCCTCCCCCTCCTCTCTTTTGAACCAAACACTTATTTTGATTAAAAAATTCCTTCACCTCCCCTCCCCTCCCCTCCCCTTCATTAAAATCCCTCCCCCCCCCTCTCCCTCATTTGAACCAAACAGACCTTAAGATTTGAACCAAACATATTTAATTAAAAATTTTCCCTTTCATCCCCTCCATCTATTCTGATCCAAACACACCTTTAGAATCGGGTAGTCCATTTTAACCACTAAACTTATAATGAAATATAAGAAGTAAAATTATAAAAGAAACGGGCCGGGTGGCCGGGTCAGCCCATTTAGCTTAAGAATATTGCACCGAAACCACCCAGTCATTTTAGGGTTTGGATTGTTACGTACGCCGTGTTGCAGAGACGCAGCTATGGGGAGGAGTAAGTATCTATCTCTCATCTTTTGCGTTTCGGCGTTTTGATTTCATTTCTATATGATGAATTTCTCCTATTCCGTTCGATTAATTCTTGTTATGTTTGGAATAATTCAAATATCGCTGTTGCACATTCATGCATGTTTTTTGATATCTCAATTTATTAACTGATTTTTCCTGGAAAAAATTTTACATGAATGTTTTCAACATTTTATTTGATCAAAACTCTATCTTTTGATGTTGTGAATTGTGATCATCTTTACTCGTGCAATTGTGCTTGTATAAATTAGGTTGCTTATGGGTGATGTATGTGATTTTTTAGTTCTTTATTGATTCTCATTGATAAACAGAGATTGGGTCTGGTTGTGTTATTAGGTTTCGTTATCATTGCTTTTAATGATGGTGATTGGTTTAATATTCAGGACCTGCTAGGTGTTATAGACAGATCAAGAACAAGCCATACCCAAAGTCGCGTTTCTGTCGTGGTGTTCCTGATCCTAAGATCAGAATTTATGATGTCGGCATGAAGAAAAAAGGTGTTGACGAGTTTCCATTCTGTGTCCATCTTGTTAGTTGGGAAAAGGAAAATGTATCGAGTGAGGCATTGGAAGCGGCCAGGATTGCATGCAACAAGTACATGTCGAAATTCGCTGGAAAGGATGCATTCCACTTGAGGGTCAGAGTACATCCGTTCCATGTTCTTAGGATCAACAAGATGCTCTCGTGTGCCGGAGCTGATAGGCTTCAGACTGGTATGAGAGGAGCTTTTGGAAAGCCACTTGGAACATGTGCTAGAGTTGCTATTGGTCAGGTGCTTCTTTCTGTCCGATGCAAGGACAACAATAGCCATCATGCCCAGGAGGCTCTCCGTCGCGCTAAGTTTAAGTTCCCTGGTCGTCAAAAGATCATCGTCAGCAGGAAGTGGTATGTATTTTGTCTGTTGACTGTATGCTTTTTAATCTGAGCATGAAGACTTTCAATTGAATTATATTTTCTATGTTTTGTATTAGCCTTCATGTTACCAGTTGCTTCGGTTAGCCATCATTGCATTTTAGTATTTGGATAGTTCTTTTGTTCTGTTATTCATCATAGGATATTTATTTTTGCATTTGATTTAACAGTCACTTTATATGCTTGCTTGCTCAGGGGTTTCACCAAGTTTAACCGAGTCGATTACCTCAAGTACAAGTCAGAGAACAGGATTTTGCCTGATGGTGTGAATGCTAAGGTAATTTGTGCCTCCTGGGGATCTTCTCATACATATTTTACATTACAACAACACTACACAGTTGTTTTGTTGCTCGGGATATTTTTTAATTTTCAAAACTTGGATTTGTATTTACGTGCAACTGTTTGGGGGTTCAGAAGGGGAGGGAAAGAGTTTTATTAATAATTTACAATTTTTTATATAATATTAAAATGTGAAAAATTTATGCGTATTTTTGTTGGTAATAAATTTTTTAATATTTAGTGATTAAAAAATTATTTATTTGTCACATAAAGTAAAAAAATTGAGTACGATTGATTCGACTTATAACTTTTCAACATAAATTAAACTATATGCCAATAACATCGTTTAAATTGTGATTAATCATATAACAAAGCAAATATATAAATAACTTATTATTAAATCTTAATGGTTCAAAATATTTAATAAAATGAATAAACAAACATAAATAAAATGAATGGTTTACAATTTGATATAAAAGAAAATATGATAGAATACCTAACAAAATCAAAAAAAAAAACGAATATAACTAAACATAATTTTTTTTTATAAAAAAAAGACAATGATTATGATTTATATTAAGTATAGAAATTATAAAATAATTTGAAGGTGGAGAACAATTATAATAAGTTGATGAAAACAATCGAAAAAAACTGTAACACGAAAGAAAACAAATAGTTTTGAAATACTGAAATTAAACTGAGGTTATTTTAGTAAATATAATAATTTTTAAATATCAAAACTCATATTCCCTCCCCTCCAAATCCTCCCATTTCGGAAGGAACCAAAAAGTGGGAACCAAAAAGTGTGTTTTGGAGGGATTTTGCTCCCCTCCTCTCCTAAGATTTGATCCAAACATATTTAATTAAAAATTTTTCCTCCACTCCATCTACCCCGAACCAAACACACCCTTAATTTAATTTTTTCTTGTGGTTTTGCAGCTTCTTGGGTGCCATGGACCATTGGCGAATCGTCAACCTGGAAGAGCTTTTATTGATGCTAGTACTCCTACTTCTTAGGTGGTCTGTTTTTTTGGAACAATTGTTTTTCACTACAATAGTTGTGCAGGATTGATTTTGAGTTTCTATGTCTTTTGCGTTTAACATAAAATCATGCTAGGTTGTTTTCGTATTCGCGAATTACATTTACTGAATGGTTCTTAATAGTTTAAATTCGTAATGCTGTTATTCCATCTGTTTAAATTCATGCAACTATATTCAGCAACGAAATATATACAACCATGCCCATGAATGAAAATTTTGAGCATGGAAACAGTATCTCTTTGCAAACAATATCTGTTTATATTCATGCAACTATGTTTTTAGTTACCAAACATTGATATAATCTGCAACTTATTAATAATGCTTGTTAATGAATGATGAGGATCGAATATTCGCCCACGCCAAACAATTGGTATTAGTGGCCTATATTTAGGCCTTAATCTGCGAAATTACTGAAACTGCAATTTTGGTCAATGTTGATGGAAAATTTGTGGCAATCCAGAGAGTATTTGACTCATCGAAAATTTGTTGCATATGCAGATGTAACTACTGAACAATGCAAGACTTCAACAAGCAAACTAAACAATTTGAAGGCCACGCCTACTTTATGTTTGAAGCAATGGATAGATCAAATTTTGAAATTAGTCAAAAATTGGTTGAACATATGGCAACTTCCACCAAAAGGCATCACAATCATCTTTAAGGATTATTCTTGGAGGGTATTTCATGAAGAAAAAGGCTTAATCATGCTAACTTAGATGTCTTGTAATAGCATGTTTGCGATATTTACCCAGTTTGAATGATCCTTATGTCAAATGCACTAACTAAATGAAGGGAAGTGAAGTGATGCACTCGAATATACGTGGTCACATTAATGGAAAATGGAATTTATCACCTTCACAAATAACTTTAGCAGAAAAATATGGATTTTTGTAAAGTAAAAAATAAAAAATTAGAAGCAGAATGATTCTATGTTGGAGAAGCGATAGAAGAGTCAAATATACTTCTACTTTTAATGAGTTTTGTGATGCGCAAGAAATTAGGAGACAACTCATTGCTACTTCTATAGTCCTCAACAAAATGGAATATCTTATAGGAATAACATATTGAAATTAAGTACATGCATGCTTAGTGAAAATAATGTATCAATGAAGTTTTTGCATAAAGCAATAAAGTGGCCGATTCATGTTTCGAATAGATGTTACAGTAGAATAGGCATGTAGTGGAATGAAACTTGTAGTGTGCCATTTCAGGATCTTTGGGTGTATAAGACAAACGGACGTGTCTGTCTCGTGTAAGTTCGTTTTGCAAAAGTCCAAAAAAAACAGTGCGGAGCGGGCATAGTTGAAGACGCAGACTTAAAATTTACGCTCGTCACACAAAAAAGTGAGGGCGGGTGGGAAAAGCCCGCAGATACTGCATCTTTTAAGTCTAAAAACGCAAAAATTTATGTAAATGTCTGCGTCCACAAAAGCCCGCGAAGAGAAAATAGGGCGGGGCGGAGCGGACATATTAGAGGTTGAGAGTTTAAACTCTTGGACTAGTCTGCACTAAAGTGCGGACAAAACATAGTCATCCTTGTTCGTGTGTATGACAATTTGAGAAGAAAACTTGATAACAAAATCACATAAAGTTGTTCTAGTGAATTGACTATTAGGATTGACTACATTTTAGTAAAACAACAACTTATAGAAGTGTTCAAGTGTTTAAGATTGATCTAACTTGATAAAGTTGTATGAAGCTCCAGAAAGGACACATGCTGGGCACGATGCTCCACCATGTTGGTACGACATTCGTGCCTTGTGTAACATGTGTCAAAATGTGGCATTTTATAGTGTGTTCTGCAGAAGATTTGTTAAAGATTTTATTGTTATTGATTTAGCAAAATGTTTAGATGATTTGTTTGACAACTGGATGAAGTTTAATTCAGATTTAAATGAAGATTTAAATTTGAATATGAATTTAAAAAAATCAAATCTTGTTGGAGATATTCAAGGAGAAAATTAAATATCCAATAGATTCTGCATTAATTCTAAACGAATTCAAAGATATTATCCAAGGAGAAAAACTCAGAGTTACATTGTTATATAAGGAGATCAAAACTTTCATTGGAAGATAATCACTCCAATTGAAGATCTCAAAGTGTCTAGGTTTTGTGCTGTGTATTCACGCTAATGCACTTAGAGGATTAATGTTGAATCTTTATGTGCACCTCTATGTTTCAGTAACGTGGTATAGAAGGCGCGTCTAGTTGAGTTGTAATCAACATTGTTTATGTACACCTCTATGTTTCAGTAACTTGGCATATAAGGTTTGTCTACTTGAGTTGTAACTTTTAACATTCTTTATCTTGTGAAGATTGAAGTTGATCACTAGGGTTTAGTGGTTGTTTTCCCTTGTCACTGAGATTGTGGTAGAGAAGAAAGTGAGTAAATTCTCATATTTAGGGTCAGACTCTAAATCGAAAGTCATTAGGTAGTTTGGAAGAAGCATTTAATAACATATGATTTTTTGTTTCTTGTAAGTATAATTGTACTAAGCTACTAATAGTGAATTTCCTTTTTTGGATTGTGCACTCAGCCCCCTAGACGTAAGTGTAGTTTCACCGAACTAGGTAAACAATTTGATTGTGTTCTTTATTGTTTTTCTGCTCCATCATCTATTACTTGGTCATGTATTGTTTATGGTGTATCTTGTCGCATTTGTTGTTGGAGCATCGTGTTTGACATTTGTTCTCTGAGGAATAAAATTTCAATTGGCATCAGAGCAAACACCCTAGCTTGTTGGGGGAGCTCCAAGGAAGATAAGTTCTACTCAAATAGAGACAATGAAAGTTGGAGGACCAATCAATAAACCTCTTGTATTGGACGACATTAACTATGATTATTAAAAGCTATGACAGATGCCTTTCTCAAATCTATAGACAACAAGAATTGGAAGGATGTGATTAAAGGTTAGAACCATCGTGTGATCACTACACAAGATGGTACAACAAGTTTGAAACCTGAAGCTGATTGGTCCAAGGAGGAAGATGGTGAAGCTCTTGGAAATGAAAAAGAGTTGAATGCTATATTCAATGGTGTTGATAAGAATTTGTTTAGACTAATCAACACATGTACTGAAGCTAAGGAAGCTTGAGAGATTCTCAATACTTCTCATGAAGGCACTTCCAAAGTGCATATGCCAAGGTTGTATTTTCTCACAACAAAATTTGAAGGTTTAAGAATGATGGAAGATGAATCTATATTTGAATTCTACATCTGTCTTCGTGATATAGCTAATAATTCTTTTGCCTCAGAAGATAAGATGTTTAAAGAGAAGCTGGTTAGAAAGATACTCAGGTCTATACCTATGAAGTTTGACATGAAGGTTACAACCATTGAAGAAGCTCAAGTCTTAAGCAAAATCAAAGTTAATGAACTCATTGGCTCTTTACAAACCTTTGAGATGACTATAAGTGATAGATCAGAAAAGAAGAACAAAAGTATTGCTTTTGTATCCAACACTGATAAAGATGAAGATCAGGGTAAGAATGATATTGAAGAAAACTTTTCAAATGTTATATCCCTTGTTGGCAAAAAGTTCAACAATGCTCTGAAAGATCTAGACAGAAAGTGGAGGGCAAATGTCCTAATCAAGGTGTCTGACATCAGTCCCAAGAGCAAGAAAAAAGATGAAGATAAACCTAATAGAGGCAAAGGAACACAATGCTACGAATGTGAAGGTTTGGTCACACTAAAGCTGAATGAACTACTTTTCTAAAGAGTCGGAAAAGAGGATTGTTCAATCATCTAGTTTGAATCTAATGATGATGAAGAAATGGGTAATAAAGCGATGGCCTTCATTGGTAAGTATGACTCATGCAGTGAGTCTAGTGTTGAAGAAATCAAAGCAGAAGAATTTCTTAAAACATATAGGAAGCTACTCACTGAATGGAAGGAATCTTACTTAAGATAGGAGAAACAAAAGAAGAACATAAATGATATACTCCTTGAAAGAGAGAAGCTTGGATTAACCATTACAGGTCTTGAAGAAGAAGTCACATTGTTAAAGTCAAAACTTAAAAATATGCTAGAATATGTACATATAAAGAATAACAATTCAGATATGTTGAATGATGTCTTGAAAGGGAATATGAAGGCTATAGGGTTTGACTACAGTTACAGGAACAAAAAGATCAAAGTCCCGTCTAAGAAGAAGACCGAGTTTCAGATGATGGAACATATATCTCAGCATCGTGCTCTACATGTGTACCCTCATAAAAAAGGAAACAAGAAATCATCTTGGAGGTGTCACCACTATATATTAACTGCTAACTTGATCAACATAAGTCAATTATATGTCAAGGTATGAATGTTAGCTATAACAAGTTAGAATGTATTGTTTCTAGCAAATATCAAGTTGTGTTAATAGAGGGTTCATGATCCAAAGACAATTGTTATATGTGAATTTTTCAACTCTCATCCAAGGTTAAGAGCATGAAGGAGACCATATCTGAAGATGGTGTCAAGGGGTTGCCAAAACTTAAGATTGAAGAAGGTAAAATTCATGACATAATTCAAGATAAGAAGCAAACCAAGATCTCATTCAAGATGGTCCAACATCTTACTTATACTTATGATTGACCATATATGGACTTTATGAGACTCAATCAAGGAGTTGTCATTTAAGGGAAAGCTTATGGTCAGACTAGAGATCCTCCAAACATTGTATAAACAGTAGTGGTTCAGAAGAAAGAGTTGAAGAAGAATGGGAATTATGGCATTCCTTCTCATATATCTGGAGTTTTGTTTAACAAAAACCATGTATGCGTATTTAGTAAAACTGGAATTGGTGTTACTCTTAATATCTTGTAGACCAACCATAAGTTATTTGACAAGAAATTTTTTCTAGATATTGCTCTCCATAACCAGAAGTTGATAAGAATGATCTACTTATTGGAGGAATTGTGATTGAAGTACCACTCTTTTATGGGGAAATGAGAAAACATCATCTCATTCACATATCTGTTAGTGAAG